ATATTACATGTAATATTACTAATAATATTACAATATAATGTTATAGTACAATATAGTAATATATAATACTGACATTGTACTATGCTAATAATATAATATATCGTATATAAGATTAATATTATAATGTAATGCAATATAATACTACTAATAATAATACAATATTATAATTATATATTTTATATTGTATGTAATATTACTAATAATATTACAGTACAATGGTATAGTACAATATAGTAATATATAATACTGATATTGTGCTATGCTAATAATATAATATATTGTATATAAGATTGATAATATTATAATATAATGCAATACAATACTACTACTAATAATATGATAGTATAATTATATATTTTATATTATATGTAATATTACTAATAATATTACAGTACAATGGTATAGTACAATATAGTAATATATAATACAGATATTGTACTCTGCTAATAATATAATATATCGCATATAAGATTGATAATATTATAATATAATGCAATATAATACTACTACTAATAATATGATATATTTTATATTATATGTAATATTACTAATAATATTACAATATAATGTTATAGTACAATATAATAATATATAATACGGATATTGTACTATGCTAATAATATAATATATTGTATATAAGATTGATAATATTATAATGTAATGCAATATAATACTACTACTACTAATATTACAGTATAATGGTATAGTACAATATAGTAATATATAATACTGATATTGTACTATGCTAATAATTTTATATATTTGTCAGAGTTTGGCGGTGCACAGCGGAAGGAATGCTAGATCAGCAGACACTGTGTTGCAAAATAAGGACTCTGCAGGCTTTGAGTTACAAACGAAACTAAGTTTACTAAGCACATTCAATAGGCACGTCTTACTACAGCGAGCTATAATTCAGGAACTAGTCAAAACGAAAGCCTCTTCACATCTGCTTATCTCTTCTTGCTGAGACCGGTTACTCCCTTCTGTTCCCAGCAAGAGCAAACCTTATCTTACTTCTCTCAAGGTCACATAATCACAGCCTCATGGTATGAACATTCTGCACAGCATTTCTAATATTATTTATTTATTTATTTATTTGCTTTATTTCCTCTACCACATTTTTCAGCCCTTAACAGGCGACTCAATGCGGTTTACATGGTACAATTATCAAACAGTGTCAGTGCAATTAAAACATAACAACGCAACAAACAGGATCAACAGCATCAATCCACAACAGTTAACAATCAACAAGACAGATCAACAAAACAGACATAACATAACGCCTCAGTTGAAATCAGATCCGTTCTCATAATCCTTGTGCCATTCCTATGTTCCATTTACCGTCTTCCTATGATTGGTTGCACTGCTTAACCAAACGCTTGTTCATAAAGCCAGGTCTTAACCATTCTCTGAAACGTCAGCAGCGAAGGTGCCTGTCTGATGTCTGCCGGTAGGGCATTCCATAGCCGAGGGGCCACCACTGAGAAGGCCCTGTCTCTCATCCCCGCCAAGCGCGCCTGTGACGCAGGCGGGATCGAGAGCAGGGCCTCCCCAGACGATCTTAATGTTCTAGTCGGTTCATAGGTGGAGATGCGTTCGGAGAGGTAAGCGGGGCCAGAACCGTTTAGGGCTTTATAGGCTAAAGCCAGCACCTTGAATTGTGCCCGGTAGCGGATTGGCAGCCAGTGGAGCTGGCTCAGCAGAGGAGTGGTATGCTCCCTGAGTGCCGCTCCCGTTAGCAACCTGGCCGCTGAGCGCTGGACCATCTGAAGCTTCCGGGCAGTCTTCAAGGGCAACCCCACGTAGAGCACGTTGCAGTAATCAATCCGGGATGTAACCAGAGCGTGGACTACCGTGGCCAAGTCAGACTTCCCAAGGTACGGGCGCAACTGGCGCACAAGTTTGAGTTGTGCAAATGCTCCCCTGGACACCGTCGAAACTTGGGGTTCCAAGCTTAGCGAAGAGTCCAGGATAACACCCAAGCTGCGAACCTGCGTCTTCAGGGGGAGTGTAACCCTATACCCTGTTCGGCCTTTCGACTGACCAGGAGTACCTCTGTCTTATCTGGATTCAGTTTCAATTTGTTAGCCCTCATCCAGTCCGACACAGCGGCCAAGCAGCGGTTCAGGACCTGAACAGCCTCCTTAGTAGTAGGTGGGAAGGAGTGACAGAGTTGGACGTCATCTGCGTACAGATAACACCGCACCCCGAAACTCCGGATGATCTCTCCCAACGGCTTCATGTAGATGTTAAATAACATGGGGGACAATATTGAGCCCTGCGGGACCCCACAAGACAATGGTTGTGAGGTAGAGCAGTTGTCCCCCAGCAACACCTTCTGAGTACGATCCTCTAGGAAGGACCTGAGCCACTGCAGAACAGTGCCACCAAGGCCCATTCCCGCGAGGCGTCTCAGAAGGATACTGTGGTCGACGGTATCGAAGGCCGCTGAGAGGTCCAGCAGAACTAACAGGGACACACTCCCCCTGTCTAGCTCCCTGCGCAGATCATCCACTAAGGCGACCAAGGCTGTCTCGGTACCATGTCCCGGCCTGAAACCAGACTGTGCCGGATCTAGATAATCAGTGTCTACCAAGAATACCTGGAGTTGTGAGGCCACCACGCTTTCCAGAACTTTGCCCAAAAAGGGGAGATTGGAAACCGGCTGATAGTTGACGAATTGAGTGGGATCCAGTGATGGTTTCTTCAACAGCGGTTTTATCACAGCTTGTTTTAAGCTCGCTGGAAATTTTCCTTCCTGTAAGGAGGCGTTAACCACCACCTTCACCCACTCGGCCAATCCCCCTCTGGCCTCCTTTAGAAGCCAGGATGGGCAGGGGTCTAGGATGCATGTGGTTGCCCTCATTCCTCCAAGTATCTTGTCCACATCCTCAGGTTTCACCAATTGAAATGAATCCAACAAAATACACAGTGGAATCCATCTTGGAAATACATAGAAGCACATTTAAAACACATACATAACTAAATTAATCCTGACAATATTGTATGTATATATATCTTGTAAGCCGGTCTGAGTCCCCTTCGGGGTGAGAAGGGCGCCATATAAGTGTCGTAAGTAAATAAATACATTTTTGCTGTTCCATCCGCAGATAATCTCGGGGCAATTCCTGTCGGACAAACGGGTGGGCATCTACGTGGAGGTGGACATGTTTGGTTTGCCGGTGGACACCAAGCGCAAGTTTCGGACCCGGACATCGCAGGGGAATTCCTTCAACCCCGTTTGGGATGAAGAACCCTTTGTCTTCCACAAGGTGAGGCTTTGTAAACAAAGGATTTTGCGAAGGCTTATCTAGTTCCTGAACCCCAAAATTATACCAATAGTTCAATTGAACCACTAATAATGTGGCCCAGCCATCTCCTAAATCAGGTATGGACAAGCTTGGACCCTCCAGGTGGTTTGGATTCCAACTCCCACAATTCCTAACAGCCTACCGGCTGTTAGGAATTGTGGGAGTTGAAGTCCAAACCACCTGGAGGGCCAAGGTTTGCCCATGGCCGCCCTAAGCGCTTTCGGTCTTTGTGTCCCCCTCCCAGGTGGTGCTTCCTACGCTCGCCTCACTGCGTATTGCCGTCTTTGAAGAAGGAGGCAAGTTTGTGGGGCACCGGATACTGCCTGTTTCCGCCATCCGTTCAGGTGAGCGTGTACTTAGAAATAACACTTCTCAAGGCATTTGTAGGTCTTCCAGTGGCAGAAGTGGGGGTCGCGAGGGAATATTAGAGGGGTCACCAAAGACCATCAGAAAACACAGTATTTTCCGTTGCTCATGGGGGTTCTGAGTGGGAAGTTTGGCCCAATTCTATCATTGGTGGGGTTCAGACTGCTCTTTGATTGTAGGTGAACTATAAATCCCAGCAACTACAACTCCCAAATAACAAGGTCTATTTCCCCCAAACTCTACCATTGTTCATAGCACATAGAAGATGGCTTTGAAAGGCAGCAGATCACAGAAGCTATCTTCATAGACCTGTCAGCCTATGATACTGTGAACCACCGCCTCCTCCTGAGAAAAATGTATAATATCACAAAGGACTACCACCTCACCCGCCTCATAGGAAACCTGCTATAAAACAGGAGCTTTTTTGTTGAGTTCCAGGGCCAGAGAAGCAGATGGCGGAAACAGAAGAACGGCCTGCCTCAGGGGAGCGTGCTTGCTCCATCCATGTTCAACATCTACACAAATGACCAGCCACTGCCAGAAGGGACGGAGAGTTTCATCTATGCTGATGATCGTGCCATCACCGCTCAAGCAGGGAGCTTTGAGATGGTTGAACAGAAGCTCTCTGAAGCTCTAGGTGCTCTTACTGCCTATTACAGGGAAAACCAGCTGATCCCTAATCCATCTAAAACACAGACATGTGCTTTTCACCTTAAGAACAGACAAGCATCCCGAGCTCTGAGGATCACCTGGGAAGGAATCCCACTGGAGCATTGCAATGCACCCAAATACCTGGGAGTCACTCTGGACTGTGCTATATGTGATGTGGGACAAGCATCCCGAGCTCTGAGGATGACCTGGGAAAGAATCCCACTGGAGCATTGCAGTTCACCCAAATACCTGGGAGTCACTCTGGACCGTGCTCTGACCTATAAGAAGCACTGCCTGAATATCAAGCAAAAAGTGGGTGCTAGAAATAATATCATACGAAAGCTGACTGGCACAACCTGGGGTTCACAATCAGACACAGTGAAGACATCTGCCCTTGCGCTATGCTACTCTGCTGCTGAGTACGCATGTCCAATATGGAATACATCTCACCAAGCTAAAACAGTGGATGTGGCTCTTAATGAGACATGCCGCATTATCACGGGGTGTCTGCGCCCTACACCACTGGAGAAACTACACTGCTTAGCTGGTATTGCACCACCTGACATCCGCCGGGAAGTAGCAGCCAATAGTGAAAGGACCAAGGCAGAGACATCTCCAGCCCATCCATTGTTTGGGTATCAGCCAGCACGTCAACGACTTAAATCAAGAAATAGTTTGTTTTTTTTTTAAAGAGAAACTAATAGTTTATTGAGGTTTTATTTATTTGTTGTGTCAGGACAACCAGTCAAATTATATTACGTTTCTAACAGAACAAAGCAAACAAACAGACGAAATACAAAATGTGTGAGTTTGGTAGTTGATTAAATGTCCTTTGACCAGTATCTGGCCACTTGGAGTGCTTCTGGTGTTGCTGCAAGGAGGTCCTCCATTGTGCAAGTGGCAGGGCTCAGGTTGCATTGCAGCAGGAGGTCAGTGGTTTGCTCCTCTCCACACTCGCATGTCGAAGATTCCACTTTGTATCCCCATTTCTGAAGGTTGGCTCTGCATCTCGTGGTGCCAGAGCGCAGTCTGTTCAGCGCCTTCCAAGTCGCCCAATCCTCTGTGTGCCCGGGGGGGAGTCTCTCATTTGGTATCAGCCATTGGTTGAGGTTCTGGGTTTATTGAGGTATGGAAGCTTAATGGCGTCAATGTTTCTTAACTCCTAGAGGTACATTCCTTTAGTGGTTACATTTATAATCTTTCATAAAACAACTCTTAAGAGGACTGTTCTTTCCGTTAGACAGGTTTTAAACTTATTTCCTTCAAAATGTGTTTCTTTCCTTAACAGATCACACCAAGTACTAGCCTGTTTTTTACCTCTGTTATCTCTGTTACAATAAAGATTCTTACTGGGGTTCTCTTCCTTTTTTTCCCGCTCAAACTTTAACTACTAATCTAAATAAGTCAACTTAGCCTATCTAAAACATGCAGGCTAAAAGCCTAAACCTGGGATTTCTGGGATCTGAAGTCCAAAACACCCAAAGGAGCGCAGTTTGAGAATGTTATCCTCGGTGTGCAGACTTCCTTAACTCTGCATGCACACAGATATGGAGGTGGGAGAGTATTACATAGTGGCAAAAAGAGAGTTTCTTTCGACAGTCAAATGCATAAGAAGATAAAAAGGCCGCACTTCTCGGTATGCTCTGCTGATAGTCATCATAGGAAATGTATTTCTTATCTTGCATCCATTGCTGCTTTTCAAAAAAACAGAACCCCAAGCGGGACTGAGCGAGCATTCGCCCTGCATTTAGACTTCCTTGTTGATGTGTATTTTGTGTGTTCCTTTCCCTCCATCTTCCTGCACAGGTTACCACTACATTTGTCTGCGCAGCGAGAGCAACCAACCACTTTGCCTCCCGGCTTTGCTGGTCTATACAGAAGCCTACGATTATATCCCAGACGACCATCAAAGTAATTGTCTGCTTGGGTAGGATTGTGGGAAGGACTTTCTGGGAACACTGGGTTGCTGTCTGGTCATGTCCCAGAAGCATTCTCTCCTGACATTTCACCCACATCTATGGCATGCATCCTCAGTGGTTGTGAGGTCTTTTGGAAACTACACAAGTGGGGCTTATATATCTGTGGAATGATGTCCAGGGTGGGAGAAAGAACTATTATCTGTTTGAGGAAAGTGTGAATGTTGCAATTGACCTCCTTGATTAGCATTGAATGGTAGGCATGTGTGTAAAGGATGGCCACCAGTAGCAGTATCATAGAATCATAGAATCAAAGAGTTGGAAGAGACCTCATGGGCCATCCAGTCCAACCCCCTGCCAAGAAGCAGGAATATTGCATTTAAATCACCCCTGACAGATGGCCATCCAGCCTCTGTTTAAAAGCTTCCAAAGAAGGAGCCTCCACTATATTCCAGGGCAGAGAGTTCCACTGCTGAACTGCTCTCACAGTCAGGAAGTTCTTCCTCATGTTCAGATGGAACGTAGTAGGGACATCACCGATTTATCTGGATCTCCTACTATTTGTAATCGGTTTACTAAATTGATAACACAGCTAATAGCTTGTAATATTTTGTTGGTCTTTCTTCAATGTGTAGCATGGCTTGACTTGGAAGTATTCGAAACAGAGACTTGGCTTTAAGAGAAACTGTAACAAGTTTATTGAAGTATAGAAGAAGCTTGATGGTTTCAGTGTTTCTTAACTCCTAGAGACACATTTCTTTAGAGCAGGGGTCCTCAAACTAAGGCCTGGGGGCCGGATACGGCCCTCCAAGGTCATTTACCCAGCCCTCACTCAGGGAAGGGGGAGAGAGAGTAGGAGGAAGAGGAAAGGATGTAAAGGAGGGAAGGAAGGAAGGAAAAGGGAAAGAGAAAGTGAAGGAAGGCATGAAAGGAGAAGGAAAGAAGGATGGAAAAAGAGAGGAAAGGAAGGAAAGTAGAAAGTAAAGGAGGATGAAAGGGAAGGAAGGAAGGAAGGAAGGGGAAAGAGAGAAGGAGGAGGAGGAAAGAAGGATGGAAAGAGAGAGAGAAGAAAGGAAGGAAAAGAGAAGTAAAGAAGGAGCAAGGGAGGGAGGGAAGGAAGGAAGATGAAGAGAGAAAGTGAAACAAGAAAGGGTAGAGAGAGAAGGAGGGAGGGAGTAGGGGGAGTAAAGAAGGGTGGAAAGAAAGAAGGAAGGAAGAGAGAGAGAGGGAAGGAGGAGTGGGAGGAAAGAGGAAAGGAAGGAAGGAGAGAGAGAGAAGGAGGGGAGGAAAGAAGGATGGAATGAAGGAAGGAAGGTAAGGAGAAAGAAGTAAGGAATAAGAGAAAAAAGAAGGAAGGAAGGAAAGAAAGAAAGAAAGAGGAAGGGAGAGAGATCAAATAGTGGCAAACATTATGGGGCTACTTTGTGCATTAAGGTTTACGGATGGTTTGCATTCTCCCTCAGATTACGCGGAGGCATTGATTAACCCCATTAGACACGTCAACCTAATGGACCAGCGGGCCAAACAGCTTGCAGCTCTGATAGGCGAGAGTGAGGTGAGGCCACCATGGCATAGACAGGGAAGGCGTGGGAGGGCATCGTGAGTTGCAATGGAGGAATGCAGTGTCATGGGTTCTCCCTTTTGGATTCTGCCCGCAGGAGAATGCAGAGAAGCCCCGGGAGTCGCTCTCGAGAAGCTCCTCCAGCTCAACCCCTGGCCCCACTGAAGAGGCCCACAAACCTCCACCAGTCCTGCTCTCTCCAACACGGACCCCCAGCGTGGTCCCCAGTCAAGGTACGACTGCTTAAAGAGGTAGCAAGGCAGGACTGGTCCTTGAGGACCTGGCCTGAAGACCTTGCATTCTCTACCTGGGGGTCAGAACCCCTGGGGAGGGGGTCACAAGGGGGTGCCGGAGGGGTCGCCAAAGACCATCAAGAAAACACAATATTTTCTGTTGATCCTGGGGATTCTGTGTGGGAAGTTTGGCCCAATTTTACCGTTGGTCGGGTTCAGAATGCTCTTTGATTGTAGGTGAACTCTAAATCCCAGCACTTACAACTCCCAATATTAAGGTTTATTTCCTCCCAAACTCCACCAGTGTTCACATTTGGGCGAATTGAGTATTCATATCAAGTTTGGTCCAGATCCATCATTGTTTGAGTCCACAGTGCTCTCTGGATGTAGGTGAACTACAACTCCTAAATTCAAGGTCAACCTACACCAAGGTTGTGGGAGATCTGTGTACCAAGGTTGGTTCAATTTCATCATTGGTGGCGTTCAGAATGCTCTCTGATTGCAGGTGAACTATAAATCCCAGCAGCTACAACTCCCAGATGTCAAGGTCTATTTTCCCCAAACTTCACCAGTGTCCACATTGGGGCATATTAAATACTTGTGCCAAGTTTGGTCCTGATCCTTTATTGTTTTACTCCACAGCACTCTCTGGATGTAGGTGAACTACAACTCCCAAACTCAAGGTCAATGCCCATCAAACCCTTCCAGTATTTTCTGTTGGTCATGAGAGCTCTGTGTGCCAAGTTTGGTTCAATTCCATCATTGGTGGAGCTCAGAATGTTCTTTGATTGCAGGTGAACTATAAATCCCAGCAGCTGCAACTCCCAAATGTCAAGGTCTATCTTCCCCAAACTCCACCAGTGTCCACATTTGGGCATACTGAGTATTTGTGCCAAGTTTGGTCCAGATCCATCATTGTCCGAGTCCACAGTCCTCTCTTGACGTAGGTGAACTACAACTCCTAAACTCAAGATCAATGCCCACTAAACCCTTCCAGTATTTTCTGTTGGTCATGGGAGTTCTGTGTGCCAAGTTTGGTTCAATTCCGTCATTGGTGGAGTTCAGAATGCTTTTTGATTGCAGGTGAACTATAAATCCCAGCAGCTACAACTCCCAAATATCAATGTCTAGTTTCCCAAACTCCACCAGTATTCAAATTTGGGCATACTGAGTATTTGTGCCAAGTTTGGTCCAGATCCATCATTGTCCGAGTCCCCAGTGCCCTCTCGACTCCCAAACTCAAGGTCAATGCCCACCAAGATCGTGGAGTTCTGTGTGCCAAGTTTGGTTCAATTCCATCGTTGGTGGAGTTCAGAATGCTCTTTGATCGTAGGCGAACTATAAATCCCAGCAACTACAACTCCAAAATTACAAAATTAATCCCCCCCAACCCCACCAGTATTCAAATTTGGGCGTATGGGGTATTTGTGCCAAATTTGGTCCAGTAAATGAAAATACATCCTTCATATCCGATATAGGAGCAAAATGACAGTAATGAAGTAGCAACGAAAATAATGTTATGGTTGGGGGTCACCACAACACAAGGAACTGTATTAAGGGCATTAGGAAGGTTGAGAAACACAAGTTTTCCCTTGTTTCACTCTTGTTATGTATTTCTCTTTGCCTCCCTCCTCCTTCTCCCTCCTTGTAGTGCAGAGGGACGATCTCATCGCCAGCATCCTGGCAGGTAAGGATTGACAGCTGTCTATCAGCACCACCAAACATTATGGGAGGTTCATAAATACTTCGTCTTTACGATCTTAAGGGAGCAAGTCACTTGTAAAATCTTTCTGACCCTCTCCGATGCCCACATATTGGGATTTTTTATCATCCTCTTACTTAGGCGATCCCTTGTAGCCTGAGGATGATGGTCCTCCAAGTTTGGTGTCTTGATAGTGGCTGTGGAGCCCTATTTTCGATCCGCATGTTCTCCCGCAGTGAGGATGTCGGTTTCCAGGTGGAAAACGATGTCCTCCTGGCACATTTCTCCCTTCCGCCTTCCATTCATGTCTCTTCGAATTCTGCAGCACTGCTAGTCACAGCTGACCTCCAGTTAGAGCACTCAAGGGCTTCCCAGTTCTCTCTTAGTGTCTATGCCACAGTTTTGAAGGTTGGCTTTAAGCCCATCTTTCGATCTCTTTTCCTGTCCACCAATGTTACGTTTCCCATTCTTGAGTTGGGAGTAGAGTAACTGCTTTGGGAGAATGTGATCTTTGGGCATTTGGTTATGCTGCAGTCAATTCCAATAGGTGATGGAATTTCCAATCTGTGTATCCTTTCCAGAGATTTCTCCTCAGTCTATAGAAGAGCTGCGGCAGCAAAAGGCTTTTGTGAAACTGCTGAAGAAGCAGTACCGCGAACTGAAGGAGCTCCGGAGGAAACACATGAAGAAAATCTGCAGCCTCAACAAGAAGCAGAATTCGAACTTCACCCTCGCGGAGAGGAGCCGGATCCGGAGCAGGGAAGGGTGAGGGCCCAGTCTCTGTCGGGGAGTGTTGTTGACGTGAAAGGCAAGGCTACTTGGGGGTGATAGGAGATGTTATCATTTGGGAGGAAGAGGAGGATGCCTGGTTCTCAGGGCTCCCTTTGTGACTTCAGGATCCCATAAGCTTCTTTGTGCAAGAGGGGCGTTCATTAAAGATGTCCCCTGACCCACTTCCTGTGGATGGAAAGCAATGAAACTTGACCCAGTTCTGAGTCCTTCTCTCCATCGGTGCCACCCAGGGGGACACACTGTGCTGTCTCACGCTGAGCCTATGTGTAAGACTGTAGGTTTTATATAGCAATATTAAATGATCACTCACAAGCCGGTTTTGCTTTGACATGGATATATTGCTTGTATCTCTGCAGCAAAGAAAGACACTACTGACTTTCCCCCC